ACAATGACTTTTTGACTCAAGTACCTTAATTTTACAATCATTAAAGAGTGCCAAGTCTTTGGTTTTGAAAGACAAAAAAAATGACAAGAGGTAAAAGATGTAAAGTTAAACTTCACACTGTTTGTAAAATTGCATCAAACATTGCTTTAACCGAGGTTTATTTAAGTCGAGTACCGAAATCTCTTATCGCTATTGCGGATTTCTGAGGGACCGTGAATTGGTATCCGTATCAGCACAGTTCTTAGAATTCCCTTATTCTGAAAGGAAAATTCATGCAATGGTAGAAGCCATGCTACAGCTCGCGCAAAAAAATTAAATATCTTGAATACTGTCTCGGACAAAAGGCGAAATGTGACATGATCAAGAGAAAATCAATAATAATGTTATTTTAGGATTTGGTCTCTGTCCTCAATAGCTAACGGGAGCTATGATCCTTAGCCTCCTCAACATATGCCTTCAGACGTTTGTACGCGAAAGGGAGAATATTTGTTTGAGCTTTCATTTGATCTGCATTTTTTCGCCAAGTTTTATTTGAAACAACAAGAAAATAGCTACAATCAGTGTTGAATTTTTGCCTTCTACTGATATCGTAAACACAGACCGAAACACATATCCAACTGACTTGATTATTCCTGGTTTTGAGAAGTTAGTTGCCACAAATAAGACAACTCGCGGTGTTATTTCAATCCCCAAGTTACCTACCTTCACAAATGTTGTCTAAAAAAAGCTATTCTGCGGGAGCCATGCAACTACATTCAATGATAACTTTTGTATCGCTTGGGAAATTAATATCCTGGCAGAAGGTGTGTCTTATTCATGTTTGAATAGCGAGTTATTTTGTCGCATCAGCTGCTGATATATCTGAAAGACCTTAAATGAATCTCACATCGCCCTAAATTGTGTTTTTTTTTTGGCAAAAACCTTATTGTGTCATTACACAGTTGATCAAATAACAATTAAAGTTATTTCAATCGGGTTTTGCAGAGTGTAAATTTCGAGAATGAAAACTATCGATGCATTTTTCTCTCGAGAGCAAATAGCTTTTCTGTACGCATAGCAAGGTAAAATGATTTCAGCTGTTAGAAATGTTGCTTTTTCTTCATGGAAGTGCCATGCTTTTAAAAACTCCTTCGACATAGGTGTCATTAAGAAAAAGCACAAGACCTTTTCGTCCTTTTATGACCTTTTATGTGCCACATTTCCGAGTTTTTTATTTGCTGTTAATCTTTGTAGCTCTTAGGACAATAAAAGGACTTTGTCGAGTCAATTTTGACAGTTTTATTCGCCGTCACAAAAACTCGTTAATTCTTGGAATTTGATACCAGTTAATTATCGAGTCTATCACATCTAGATGCTCCGTGCTCCATCAGTTGCAATATCTTTGGATATTTTGAACGTTATCAGACAACTGGGACACACTTTCTCGCATAGTTTTCCTTTTTCTTTTTTATTTCCCTTTTACATTGTTATTTTGTCATTCAAGTCCTTTTTTGAGGTGAGCAAATGTCTGAATAAGCATCGCATAACCAGATTTTTCGCGGGCGAGCGAGAAATATAATGGAAAAACTAGTGAGCATTCCTCAGATGAGGAGCAATGGGGGGAGGGGAGGGTAGGTAATTAAGACGTAACTTTGGATTCAGCGGAGGCACAAAGTTGAAGGCGGTTTTATAGAACGCCAGGGTGCAGATTTTAGACGGCAGCAGCTTTATAAGGTTATCGAATGTACGATACCGTAAAATGAAAAATCGACCTAACTTTCTGCAAAGTGTTGCGCGACATACTGTAATCCTCGTCATGAATCTTGAAACAAATTTCCCGTCACCCCTTGTCAATGCTGGTATGGGGAAAATTAACCGCCTGAAAAATACTGAACATTGAGCCAACCGGGGTGTTTCAACAAAACTTTATTAGGGTTGTAGTTATTTGCAATAGAGCGCTTGGTGCTTTAGGGGCCTTTGCTACGACCGCAAAGAAAACGATGAACGGTCAGTGTAATGAAAATATCCTGGCCCTGCCATGGCAAAGCACACGACCAGAAATAGAGGGGCGTAAACACCTTTCAATTTCTACGATCACAATCAAAAGCCATGATAATACGTCTAGACCTGAGAATTTTCCCAAAAAAAGGGGAATTCGAGATAGAGGTCATCGGCTGAGACATTAGTTTGGACTTAATTTTTATGAAATAATGCCGGCAATTATCTATTTTTAAAAAGATGAATTTCCTTAAGCTAAGAGAGACCTTAGAAAAGCGAAGAGATGTCTGGATCAATAAGGTTTCCTCTTGTAGTACAGACTACATTATTCTTGATGGAAGGAAATGTCCTCTGATATAAACGAAAGCGACGATTAATTCCCAATCTGTCAGATTAAATTGATAGCTCTATTTTCTGGCATATTCGTTACGCGACCTCCGCTGAATTACGTAAGTTATCGCCCACAAAACTATTGAAGTCTTTAATACTTCTCAGAGTTGTTTACGATATTCCGATTCATATTCACGCCATATTCATATTTTTTTACAGCAATATATAGTGTCTTAGGGCAAGAGGTCCAGTTTGTCAGAACATATAGCTACTAAAATAAATCATGATCGTTTAGCTTTTACGTTTTCGTAAAATATTACACGGTTCTTTTGTTAATATTTGTGTAATCTTCGAAAGAAGGTCTCAATTTTTTAGTCATCTACTAATAGCTATTCTTTAGATATGAAACTGTGGTGGTCTATCAAACAAACTAGGTCTAACTTGAACAGGGTAATTTAGAATTATCAACTGAGTTGATAATACTAAATTATCATCCTGTTAAAGCTGACGTTTCGAGCGTTAGCCCTTCGTCATTCCCTCTGACGAAAAGCTAACGCTCGAAACGTCAGCTTTGAAACTCTTTACTGTTGCCAATTTACGTTGTAAACTAAGTTGATAGTACTAAAGTATCCTGTTATGCTCTCCCACTCACGCAGCACAACAGTTTCTTTAGATATTTACCCCTCAATTTATAGGTCTAACTTTATATGCTCTCCTTTAAATTTCAATTTATTTTACCCACAGAGCATTTATCATTGCTTAAGTCCATCAAACGCCACTTTCAGTTTAATGGGAGTATAAATCGTCAGGGCAATTACACGAGGATAGCAAAATGTTACTTACACTGTATGACGCAAATGAGCATGAAACGAAAAATTGGAACCTGAGTGTTTCTAATACAATTTTTATTTCAAGTGCATTCCTCTCTTGACTTTAAAAAGACCTTTTCGGACGAACGCAGGTTGAAAATAGGAGCCACTGACACACCGTGGCTTCAATATAACTTGATTTTGTAATTAAGCTAACAGCTTATCTGCATGTTGCGCTGCGTTTTATATTTCAAACATAGATATGTATGTTCATAGATATGTATGTTTGTTACAAAGGAAGTTTTTAAAACGGTTAATGGGGTAATTTAAGGCCTCCATGATAAGATT